GTTGAGGGTTGAGGTAGGGAGTTGGGGGTTGGAAGTTGGGGGTTGGGGGTTGGGGGTTGGAGGTTAAGGATAGAGGTTGGGATCAGGGGCTGGTAGTTGGGGTTAAACCCCTTTTAAGCCTGTTATGGAAATTACAATCTCAAACTTCCAATCTTTCTTACTGTCATTTCCTTACACCTTACACTCTTGTGAACTTCTGCATAAGGACCAAAGACAATCTAGAGCCGTTTATACTTCCGCCTGAGACAGGCTTGAATAACGGTTGACCGATCTGATTTCAGCCACCCTGTTATATTGATTCAGGGGCCATATACCCCATGAACTCACTTCATTGATACATGTACGGTCGTAAATGTGTAGCATTAGTGAACTCGACCTGACAATACCAAATCCTCAATTTACTTTTCAACTGTCCAAGTACGTTATGCGTCAATCTAAATAAATTCTACATAAAATTGTTGGGCATGCAAACATAAAATGAAGTAAACTATGTAAATATTCTCAACGTTAGTGTAAATAAGAAAACGAATGGCTGTTTACAAACGCGATAAAACATTTAGAGACGTATGCAGACCTTAATCCTAATATCAGCTTAATATCAGCTACATCTTATAGTTAATTCACGATTACCAGAAAGTGAGACGAGACAAGAACGATGCCTCAGCCATTGGACTAGGTAGGCTGTTGTGTTGCTTTTCGGACAAATCCATTGTATCTACACTACTATCCAGCTACATCCAATTACAACGCGAATTAATCTGAATTTTGAAAAGATGACGCTTTCTTGTGTTACCACTGGCGTGACATGAGTCCACCTCACTGCCCTAACTAATCAATTGTTAATTGAAGAACTAATAGATCGCGTGCTCAGTCACAATGCGGTGATTTCAGTTGGATGAATCGCGCATGCAATAGAACACTGCAAACACCACAGGACATCCAATGCTACTCAGTATGCTACTCCCAGCCCTCCCTTGGCTAGGTTACCTTGCATTAATATGGCGGACAACGAAGGTTTCCTTTAGGAAAATAAAAATAACAATTCTGTTTCGTATGTTAAAACTCGTCAGTCAGTTATAGTTTCAGCTTGAAGTATGGATGAAGTTCTCTCAGAAGGAGACGTAAAGGTGAGACAAATGTGTTGTTTATGGTCTCTTTATTCTCTGTGATAAGCAAGTGAAACACGACCTTTGAAACAGCCCTTTGAAGAGTACGTAATGCACACGGTAATTTAGAACCAAAATGTCAGTTTGGAATTCCGAGCGTGTTGAATTGCTCCATCATGTACAGTTAGCAATTTAAGTTATGCTTCGTCTCTTTCCCCTTGCCAGTACACAAATACAAATATTTCAAGTTTATATTATTAAATAAACTTAAATAAAAGGCTTGCTGTCATTTGCAATACGAAACGAAAGGAAAATCTGTAATTTGTGAAATGAAAATGTAATTTTCGAAATGGGAATCTGTAGTTTTCAAAATGCAAATTACCTTCCTGGGCCAAACTCCTCCTGTTAAAAGAGTTTTATTGTAATCCTCAAAGCTGATGTGCTTCTTGATCACATTCATTGTGACTCCTTTGCATATTATTGCTGCTCAAGAGATGAAGTCATTGACTTTCCTGAATTTGTTGGTCCAACTATTAATGTATTGAATGGAATATTATCAGGGTTCATTTTCATCAAAGAAGTTCAAAAGTCACACTCATTAGCCCTCTGTTCACAATTTCATGTTAAACCCCTCCCATCAATCTTGTCCCTCTACAATTCAAGGCTGATGATTAATTGACTATCTTTGAAAACGTTTTTAGTTTTGTTTTTTTTTTTTGCATCTCATAAAAACTAGAACCTCATGGACTTGAAAGTCTCAGTTAAGAAGTTCTGCTTCAGAATTCATAAACTCAAACAAATAGAAATTGACAAGCAAGAAACTTAAATAATTTCAGAACCTTCAACAGAAGATAATTTACAACAAATTGAAGTATAAAAATAAAAAAAAGATTATATTAACTATTTAAATCTTGTGAAAGGTATAGCAGATTATGTATATAATGTGTTACTTGTTCCAGATAATGATGAGTATAATAGGAGATTTTTTAAGTATAAATTGGACACAATAATTTGTGACGAAATGATTGGATAGGATTTGAAATTGCTGAAATACTTTTACAAAAACATATTCAATGCTTCAGAGGCATTTAGAAGGTTTTTGGTGAAAGAAAAAAATTAAAATTATAGACCCTTTCGATCTCTTAATTCATTGTTTGTAATTTCTCATTTCAATATCATCAGGTTCTAAGCATGACATTTTCACTGAAACTATAAACTAGATAGCACTCAAAGCAATTATAACAAGAGGTACATATTAGAAGACAAGATCTCTACTCTTGCTTACAAAAGTAGTGAAAATTATGAAATTATGAAACCATGAAATTAATGATGATGGGAATCGATGTGAAATAAATTGTGTCAAGTTGATTGTGGGTCGTGCTAGAACTTTAATAATCCTAATATTGTCAGATATTGACTGGAAAACACTGTTGGACTTAACAAGGGCAAACAGTTTTGAGATCCAAGGGAATACAAAAACTGCCTTGTGGCAGCAGAAATTGGAGTTATCAATGGTTGGAGTTACCAAAGGTTGAATGATTCATAACAAATGTATAGTCAAAACCAAACCATATGAAGTTTAGATAGGTATTGCTCACTTAGATTTAACTGTTGATGATCTTGAAGGAATATGTAATGTCATGTATGTCCTTTTTTAATGTCATGGTTTTTCTAAAACTTTTTTAGCGTTTTGAGGACCAATATAATGCTGAAGTTGAAAGAGGACAGGTGTCTTCTGTTACACAGTTCAGTTATGGTTGGTGTTTGATCAAAAGCAGCAATAGAAGTGAAATTTTAAAAGGGGTTCTTCTCCTGCAAGGTGAAGTATGTGTTGTGCATTAACAAAATCCCTTTGTGATGGTCCTGAAGATAGTTATTTCTCAGTATTAAATTTTTTTGTAGAGGAAGGGACAACGCACAGGGTCCTAATTAAAAGAAGGTTAAAGTGAATAGTAATTCCCTTTGGAAACTTTTGGCAAAAAAGAATCTTATTATCAGGAGTATTGCTCTTTTCTTAATTTTTACTACAAGGGCTGGAAATGAATGAATACTATTTGCTTGGTCCCTCCAGCACAGTGCGTTAATTATGGTAAAATATGTGAAGAGCCTACAATCAGTGACAAAATTTGACCCCAAAACAGTGTTGTATCATGATTCCAGGAACCTTTAGCTGCATGCAAGCAACATTTAATTGTGGAGCAGGGAAGGGAGGGGGGTCCTGTGAGTGATTTACGGTGTGATAGAAACAGGAGTGTTATACTATACATAAAATTACCCTAAAAACATGATGTGTGGAGTAAGTTTGACACTTATTGTAGCTTCTCACACAAAATAGTCTAAGTGCAGTCACACTGGTCTTTTAGTTGAAGATTCTCTTTGGTTTTCTATCTGCCAATGGAAATTACATGGGTTTTGTTGGGTCCAAAGGTTCTTTTTCCCAAATTTTATCACATCATGATGCTTGATAGAAAAAAAAATTAAAAACTGATTCATATTTCTTGTCCATTACCAGTAATGTAATTGTCTCCCATTTTTTAATTGCTGCCTTGACCTTAGATGAAATGTCTTGAGTGGTAGGAATCTTCCCAGTTTTTTTTTCTCTTTCTTTCTTTAATTGACTGTAGGGTTATGTCATAGTGGAACTGATCAAAGAGATTACCTTTACTTTATTGCAGAAGGATATTACAAACTAAATGTGAGTGACATAGGAAAACTTCTTGTTGTTATGAAGTTGGGTTATGCTTACTATTTGATGGCATCTGTTTCATTGGTTGATATGTGGAACCAAAGACAATTTTTTTTCACACACAGCATGTAGACCAAGAACAAGGTTAAACACTCTGCTTTATAACTTTTCATCTGCAGAATAAAACTTACAGGTGTCACTTGTAACAAGAATATGTATCTCCAACAAATTGTAAATTATAAAAATTGACTAAATTCTAAGTCAATCCTTGCTAAAGAAGCCTGTTGATTTTAAATTATGGTTTTGTATCATCAAATAGGAGTACAAGTCAGCCCTCAGATACATAAACAGATTACTACAAATAGAACCTGAAAACCGACAGGGGCTTGAGTTGCATGAAAAAATCACTGGTCAAATGAAAAAAGGTTGGTACATTTTTGTTGTACATGGTGTATGAAGATTAAACTAATCCTTTTGCAGTTTTTAAGTGCAACACTTCTCCAACACCTAAGTTGCATGTTTTTGTGTTGTCATATGAATATCCAATTTAAGCTGTCTGGTTACAATTTTCTGTATTTTAAAAAGGTTTTATTTGCCTGTTAATGACTTACAATAAGCTCAATATCCTGGTGTTTCCCCACTTTTACAGACAATTTCTATTACGCCATTGCTCATCTTAGAGACGTCTTAAGCTAGCAATTTTTATTTGTGCAATAATTTATTTGTGCAATAATTAATTGTAAACTGGCTAATGCACATGCATGCACATGTTTGAGAGATGCTTGGCCTGACAGTGACTATTTAATTAAACACATCCTGGATTTATAAATGTCACAAAATCATGAAGTTTGCGCCTGCACTGTCATGACCAGACCAACAGATTTAATATTCCATAGAGGTTTCTGTTTAATTTATATGATGCTGTGCTATTTCCACAGACGGCTTGATTGGACTTGGAATCTTGGGAGGTACAGCTCTTATTGTGGGTGGAGCAGCAGCCTTGGCTGGGATGGTATTTGCAAGCCGAAAATGAACAACCCTAACCCTAACCCTAACCCTTAACCTAAATTGTCATAGATGCAGATAAATGTAATCAAGGGAAGAGTGTAATAAGTAATATTATCAGCAGTATTAATACTGTTTAGCATTGTGGAGCATTTTGTGGGCTAAGATGGGGATTTTAGTACACTTTTGCCCACTTGCACACTTGCTTGATTTTTCGGGCTGTTTTGTTGTCATTTTTTTTAGTTCCTATTCTCTCAATGCTTTCCAAAGTGATAATGATAGTAACAAAGCTGATGTGCTTTGGTATAAATATGTTTGAGGCCCTTCTCATTTTAACCCTTACCTAAGGGCTCAGGCTAAGGTGACTCTGAGTTGGGCCCAAAACATACATGTATTAATCTTAGATTTGGAACGTCTTAAACAAGTGGACAAAACCGTGGAGAAAACAACTGGTAGCTGAAAGGTTGGGCATTATGATACAGTGGTGTGTCAACTGCCTCTCCATCTGCTCAAGCATATGGGAAAAAATTATGTATAAATTGCTTAGATAGTGAAATTAGTTCAGTCTAGAGCAGAAAAATAACATTAAACTTGAGATTGCGTTGGAACAATTGAAAAACAATTGCCATGGATAAATTAATGGTGATATGAGAGATGCATTACGATAAAAAATAAAACTAGAACTTCCAAACATTGCGTGACTGGCTTGAAGAACTTGGTAATGGGGAAATGTAACCACATCTCAGAAAAATCTCTGTCATGTCATGTAGTTACAGTTGACTGTAGAATAATCCTGGAGCAAAGATAACTTCAATATTATTTTTTGGTTTATCACTCAGCTTCCTTCCCCAACTGTATTCATCTAGGAGAGTGAATATTGCCATGCAAAGATAACGTTTCAAAACCAACCACAATGTTTGCATCCAAATTAAGGATGGTTAAAGCTAGGTCTGACAAAGTAACTTGGATGAAGTAAAATATGGTGTTCCCCAAGGATCCCTCCTGGGTCCAAGGCTTTATACTATCTACGTCAATGACCTCCCTAATGCTATTACATCTGGAGACTCGTTCATGTATGCAGATGATACAACATTATATTGTGTGGGGAAGAACTTTGATCAGGTCTGCTCACAATTAAATAACATTCTCGAGCAACTTCTGCTTTGGAGTACAACGAACAAACTTTGTATTCATCCTGTAAAGTCTGAAGTTATGATCCTTAGCAAATCGGGCTTCATTGGTCCTGCTCCTCCAATATGCTTCGGAAATAATTTTATTAATGTTGTTAATAAGACTACTTGTTTGGGATTAATCATTGACAATAGGATTACATGGGCATTGCATGTGGACCATGTAAAAAAAATCTTTTGCACAGAAAGTGGGCGCATTAAAAAGAATGAAGAAGCTTCCTGTGAAAGTGCTGGAGGAAATTTACTTTAAATCTATTCTACCTGCGGTATCGTATGGTATTGTGGTGTGGGGAAACTGCAATTATTCTATTATGGAATCCTTAAACCCTATACATGCAAGAGCTGCATGAGTTATCCACCAGGATAAAAGTCTTGAAGAGTTAAATTGGTTGCCAATTTCTTACATATATAAAAGAAGACTCCTTCTTCTGATGCACGATGTTTTAAATGATAAAATCTTATATGCCCCTTTTAATTTGAAGTTACGCAACAGACCATCACGTACAGGAGGGTTACAGGTTGAAATCCCTAGAGTGAACTACAAAGTGGGAAAGGAATCAGCACAATACAGAGGACCTGTAATCTGGAATTTTATTGCTAGGCTGGCAAATTTTAATGTGAACATTCAAAAAGACAGTTTTAAAAATATTTTACGTAAGCTCTCACAGAACATAAATAGCTTCTCTTTTGAAGCGCCTATGATTGCTATGAAAGACAGAGATTTTGTGTATTTTTAAGTTTTATTACATTGCATGTAAATTTTTGAATTAATTCGTGACTTGTTTGCTAATGAATTTTATTACAATGATCATATTGAATATTTAAATACCATAGGGTGACTTTATGAATTATTTTAGTTTTACATTTTATTAGTTCGTTGTAGGTCCACATCAGCCTTATGGCTGCCCCCTTCCTTACAACCTGCATTACTAAATAAAATGATTGATTGATTGATTGATTGATTGAAGGGTGACTTTTTTCAAACTTTATTAAAGCTTGGAATATAGCTTTTTGACAAAAATGTTTCAGGGAGTAAACAAACAGTCATCTGGGGATTTGGGGGGGGGGGCAAACTTCTGTGGATTCTTCAGCAATAGACGCAGATGTTTCTAGCTGGGAGGAGACTGTGGAGCCAGTATGAAGCCTAAAATTTAATTTTACAAGGTATTGTATTCAGCATCGTGATGGAGATTCTTACTTATTTCTCATTTAGGAACAGCGAAAATAGATAGCTCCATAGGACATAAGTCACCCAAGATATTATTGTGAGTTAATAGAACAAACGAACACATATAAGATCAGGCTCACAGTCTGTTAATGGATAATTAAGTTGAGAAATCTTCACCACTAAAGTACTGAAGGTGACAAAGCTAAGTAACAGCACCTGCATTCAAGAGTTACAAATCTCATCCCTAACAAGGTGTCAATTTCCTATTTCCATTTTCTAGCCAGCTTTTTGTTTTCTCCTATTTTCTATATTTACTTTAAGGGTTTCACTTGGTACACGACAGATTTTCTATGAGATAAAATTGTCCATGAATTCCTTCAAAAAGCTGATAACTTTCATCAAAAAGAGCAGTGTGAAATCTTGTTGAATTTCCTTCTAACTTTCCAAAAGTTTTTGACTCTCTAAAAAAGAGGTAAGAAAATGTTTTTCAAGCCACTACTCTGTGAAGCAAATATGCTACTGCACTGAGTTCTATCTCCTGACAACGAAAATTACATTGGTGATCAAACCAGAAAGGCCTTAGCATGCTTAATAACTGCAAATCAGATGTTGGCTTTTCTTGGAATTTGAGCTTTTAATGTCGCCACAGGTTCGATCCTCTGACCGAGGTCGGAAACTTGAGCTTTCACTGAGGTCGAAAGAAGACAGGTGTAATCGAGCATAGTAGAGAATCAGCAAACTGCCAGGAAAACCTGACAGAACGATTTAGGTGGGAGGCGGAGGCTGTGTGTCTACCATGGACAAGCATCCTATTAGAAATAGAAATAGAAACACCTCTTGTCCCATAAGCTCCCTACATACTCCGAGGCGACTGCCACTAACTCGCCTTACGCTTCTGGCACTACAAAATTACCACCTCCAGGGTAATTATGTTTTTCCAAAATTCAGATTGACTGCTGGCAAAGCTTCCAAATGTTTCAGAAAAAAGTCAATAATCACTTCTGAACAAGTAAAAAATTTACTTAGGGAGTTCTTGTAAAGTATGTAAATTATGCAAATTATGAGAATAGGTTTCTAGAAAACGGACAGTCATAGGTTAATTGGTTGTTGTTTGCTGATTGCACCCAAGCCTAAAAACACTCCTCAAAATCGCACAGATAAAAGTGTTAGTTGCTGAAATTTAACTTTCTAAGAGCGCGCAAGATGTAGCAATTCCACTGTTCGAGAAAAAAAAAAGCAATATGACTTGCCATCCAACAATTACATTTGATGCATGGTTTTTTTTTGTTTCTGTTTTTTTTTTTTGTGTGTGTGTGTGTGTGTTTTTCTTCGTTTTTCTTTTTGTTTTGTTTTGTTTTGTTTTTGCTGTTGTCGTAGTTATTTGTTTGATTTTTTTATTTAGTTTTTGAACGAATTCACGAGTCATTTCTTCTGACATAGACCTATGCATTTTCTTCGCGATGGGTGTCTAATTACCCCAAGCAGAGTTCAAGCGCAACCTTACTGAAATATCACATCACTCAGCTTCGAACAATCTGAATGAATTGGAAAGTTCGATGACTGACCGAGCCGGCTTGATTGAAAGGATTTCGATTAGTTCCGTGGAAATATTCAAAGCTCTTCAAATGTTGAAATCGTTAAACTGTGATTCTTGTAATAAACGATTTATTGAAAGATGAATCTTTTCACAACAAGCCGCAACCACTAAATTGGGAAAAGATGACATTCACCGCTTTTCAGAGTTAATGAAATTTATTCAAATGGAACGACTCCAAACAGAAAGGTACGATTGTCATCAGTTAAATACTATACAGTAACTTTCGTCGCCTCTGTAAAACACGCTAAGTCATAGCTAATCTATAATCCTTTGTAAATCTCATTTAACAGGCAGAAAGGAAGCCGTCCTAACTTGAGAGCGGTTCCATCTACATGCGCTAATAACCAAGTCATTTTACAGGGAAGTTCAATTTATCATGAGGAAACAAGGTTTACATGGAGGCCTCTGCAAAGCCAATCACAAGTCACAGCACTAATCGAATCTCACCCCGGTAATTAAAAGTCGTTGATTACATATCACTGTTTTTGCTTGAAACGTAATTAAATTATTCAAATTTGTTGTTTCTATCAAACAAGAGTTGGATTGTTGTCATAAGTTAACAGTAACGTGCTTTATACGCCTAATTAAATTCGTCCAAAATGGGGAGTTAATTTTGCACTCAAGCCGAGCCCAGTAAACACGAGACCATGTGTGTCTGTCAGCTTCACCCGACACAGCGCTGGGGCAGGTGCTATCCGGTGTCCCTTCCAAATAAGGCAAGCTTGTAATATCAAAAGAAAGTTTTCAGTAATTGATTCACCAATTATCTCATTGATAGATTGCCTAATGCTACTAATTCCTTGATAATCTCAGCGTCGTACTCCTTCCCGCTATCCTATTAACAGAGCAATATTTTTTGTTGACGTGAACAAAGCGGCCGACAGCGGCGGGTCTTCTGCTATCGTTAAAGGTCCCCATCTCAGCGTGATTTGTGTGATCCCGTGTTAAGAACTCGTGTACAAGTAGCGCAAACAAAGACGTTTATTAAATCATTGTCCGGGTGGTTGTTTCGCAGTGAGTCGCACCCTAAACAAATTAACACTCTTAAGGTCCAGGACATTCGACAGAATTCGCGAACAGTTCAAGACAACGTACAAATCTCTACCAAACCGTCTTTTTTCTGTCCATATATATCTTACAATAGTAGAACGACTAAAGGGGGGATCCTTTAAGAAACTAATTAAAAATTGATGCTGAAAGAGCAAGTTCACAAGTAGCGTCGATCATGATTCTAAATAAAAGTTACTCAGACGAACGCAGCACGTGTGAAATATGATCAAACACAATTCAATCAGTGGAAGAGCCACTGAAGACACAGCCCAAGGAAGCGGCGTGTTCTCGTGCTTTCAGTCTTAGCGCCGCGATACTGGTTGTTCTTCTGTCGGGCTCTACAGGTGAAATGCTTCGAGGAGAAGAACCACAAGACACAACGGGAGAGATTTTAAACACTGGTGCCTTATAGGGCACTGAGGTTGACGCTAAAAGTGAGCTGCTACCATTGCCGCCGCTAAGTATGGCCGCCGCCGAAAAGTACTCGGAGTGGTGGGCGTAATAAGGTGAATAAAAGTGGGCCATACTACTTGACTGTGGGCAAACCGTGGCATGTAATGGAAGACGCAGGGCCGGAAAAGAAGGCGGCGGGCGAGGAGGATTCGCGGCAGAGAAACCACAATCCCATTCTTGATCGTGGTTTCTGCTAGCAGCCGTCAATTCTGAGGTGTAAGCTGACAGTGGAGGAGGAACTAAAGTGTTACCTAGTCCAAGTGGAGCATGGAGGCGGACACCTTGAGCCTTCTCACGTTTACGCCATTTCGCTCGTCGGTTCTGAAACCAAACCTATTTTGCAAAAGTAAACGAATTCATTGGCTTTGTATTACTGAATTGCCCAATAAAACAATCAACCTTTTTTATCGTAGCAGAGTTTGCCTCAGTAAATGTTATTCTTATCCTTCAACCAAAGACAAATCTAAAATTAACATCAATTTTGCATAACCACGAGAACGTCGTTAATCATTGTTTTGAAAACGAGAAAAATGATAAATTGGCAATATAGTAAGGCACTTAGCTTTTTTAATTTAAAGTTGAAACAAAAATTATCCGTAGCAGTTTTGGAGGAATGAAGTGTGACTTCTTACAGAGTTTTCGATACATTCACACTAATTTGTCCACAGCAAGACGCCTAAGATCTACTGACTACCGCAATGCTGTGCAGTAAACAACCGTGAATAAACTGATTCGTGATACACCCTAAACATCACAAAATCTATCGAGGCCTTTATTTGAATAATTGCCATTGGCAATTGTGTTTCAAGTGCTGTGGAAAATTGCCAGGTTTATTAATTTCCTTGTCGTAATAGTTTTGTGATCGTCCTCGTTATCAGCGATCATCAACAAATGCCTCTGATTTGTGCAGTTTAATTCGTTTCCAGTTTTTATCTCTGCCAATAAGGAGGTTTGCGTCCGCAAGTAAATTGGACTATTTAATTAACCAGGGAACAAATCCGCTCATAAATTGTTCCAGTGATTTGAACAATACTGTTGACTGCTACTCAGACCATCAGCCGGTCGGCTGTGCGGTGTACTACATTGTTAGCTATTAATACCTGAACACGCGCTTCAGTTAAATCAATTTTCATGGCCAGTGCCTCTCTTGTGAACACATCTGGATAATGAGTCTTGGAGAAAGCCCTTTCTAACTCTTCTAGCTGATAGCTTGTGAAGGTTGTACGGTATCGACGCTGTTTCCTAAGTTTTCCTGGTGAACACTTACTCTCTTGATCTCCTTCATCATCGCTTTTCACTTTAAGTTCATCTTCACTTTCAACATTATCCGCTGAATTTGCTTCCGCGTCGTTCTCTGAGAAAAAAAAAAAAACCTGGATGGATTGTGGTCTGCTGTTTTGAATGAAGAAAGAAGGGTGATTATTAGATTAAAAAAATTAAGACGATTTGTGTCTAATGCTGGTATGACAATTAGAACTAATCTTCAACACCATAATGAAATCATTTGGCAGAATCATTTTGTCTTAAAACCGAATTTTATGACACGAAAAGTTTGGTTAAAGCTATCCTTTTCCCAATTGAATCACAAAGATTTTAAAGTTACATATAAAAATCATTAAATTGACGAGATATTGATGTAGTCCACCCCAGTTAACGAAAGCAAAATGCCACCAGTAGTGAAAGAAAAAATTCTGGCATGTGAAAAGGCGTTACACACCCAATTTAATTTCCAGCTTATTTGTAGACTACATAGCAAGATTTGAAAAGCTGTGTAAGCTAACAAGTGAGTCTGTGTCTACGCTACCTTGTTTTCTCTCTTCTGTGCTCTGACCTAACTTACGGTCTGCTGCTTCGTCGAAAACACGATCCAGTTTTGTACTCTGTTTGTGTTCATCGTCTCGGTTGAGTCCCAACAGTCCATCAATAGTGTAAGAGCTGGGTATGGCCTTGGTACTCATGTTTGGTGGCCGAACTCGGGTAAATGGAATGCGTCAAGTCTTCCAAGTGTTTTAATAAAACCCTGTGGACACATCGACCGCACGAGCTATTCTATTGGTGTAAAAGCAATGAAACTCTCAACCGATAATAAAATTAATAAAACTACGAAAGTTCATTAGGGGACGTCATGATACTCAGCGCATATTCTTTACATTTGCAATTAGTTTAATCTCATTTGATCAAATAGCCGACAACAACGTGAAAATGACAGATTCCTCATTAAGTGTGTGACAAAAACGATTCCTTTCATACGACAGTTTTCACGCGAACTATTCAGATGGGGGTATGATCTTCAAGAAACTTCACGGTCCGAGTTACGGGGTTAAGTGTGTGAAATAACCATGTTGACTCACCGGTACTGAGTTGTTTATTCGGGACCGCTCTCTTTCTCTCACACTAACCACTTACAAAGTATTGATGGTACGCCAGCGAGACTTTCTTCCCTCCTCGAACCATTTACGGGGTCAAGATCCCAACAAATGTTGTAGTTCACCGGTTATGACAGACCTATTGTGACTTGTGTTTCGTCGTTAGGATATTTCTCAGCGACGAAATGTGTGTTATGAATTCTATCGCACGCTTCGAGGCGTAATCTTCAAATATTCTGTTCCAATAAATATAAATTAAAACCACATTCAACTGTAAATAGGTTTAACAGCTGATATCACCAGCTGCCCTGAACAATGACCCGGTAAGAAAAGAATATTGAAAACTTGCACCCATCTCAACATTTTGATTGGGTTAATTAATCACCATTTGTCCCCGTAATTAATTAATTAATACCGTTTATCTTGAGTCGATACAAGCTTCGCAATGAACCAATCACACAGCTTGCCTATTGAAGCGTTCGAGATGTGCCGCTGCCGGGAATTACACATTATCACATAGGTGTTATTACATGTTTACCTTGTGCCACAATTCGGTGCGCGGTATGCGTTATTATCATACCAATAAAACGTCCTTTTATCACCAACTCATTCCAATTTAATTAAACTAATAAGCCCGCAAAATGAATGTGGCCACAAACTAAATCCTCTAGTGAGTGGAATTCCTTAGCAAAAGAGCGTTGGTGCAATCGCGAGGATTAAAAGTCGTTTTCCCTTCGCGGTGTAAATGTTGAAGTCTCCAGCATTGATTTCCTCAAGTGCTTTTTCAACAATTAAGTTTGTTGTTCGTGTGCGCGTAAACACTACGAGAAAAAGCAAATACGCGAACAATACGGCAGCGAATATTGATAGCATAATTGTGCGAAACGATCGAAATCAACAGTGATAATGTAATAACTATATTTTGTCAGACCAAGCGTTCGCACGAAATTAATCGAGTTCATAAATAAAGAATTGTACAGGAGGGGTTTAATTCCCTTTTTAAAACGAACCGAAAACGATGTTATTGCAACAATAATCAGCCTTTTTCTCTTAATGTACGTGAACTGACCAGGTTATTTCAACTAAGAAAGCTCTGATGCAAATTAAATCACTTCAAACAAATTTCACAAACGACGGGCCAGCAGAAAAGACAACTGGCTTAATTTGAACTTTTTCAGATGACTTGACTCTCGTAGAAACACAGTAAACGACTCCTGACTGCTAACTCAACATCGTTGCCTCGGACTCGATCAAGATGGTTTTAGAGGGAAAGCTTGCTTCGTGAAAAGTGACACAACAAAGTTTATTTATCTACACTCAAGTGCAAGAAAAAGATTCCAAACAAACACTTCACCTGTGAGGATTTCAATATCCGCTATCACCATTCGAGTAAGTTTTGACGGTCATCTATTGTTCTCTTTCAGGGTCTCTGTCACAGCAAGTTGGTTAGAAAGAAACGAAACTCAACGCGTGGGAAAATGGTAAAATTTACTAATAAAATTCGGTACTATACAATGATCCATCTTTCGTAGAATTACAAAACATATTCCAGTAAATTTATCATAAGAATAAGATAAAAGACAGCGAGGACGGGAAAACTTCTCCCTCTAAAACCACACAAAATTACAAAACAACGGTGGTTAAACATATTAGCATTTTGGCATTTCTAAATCTATACAAAACAAATCAAGTGGAAAATTTAAAAAGTACGGGAAAATAATCGTCCACCGCAACATCCACTTTGATTCTTCCAGAGCTAAACAAGAAAGAATCTAATCCTATACAAGATGATTCCTTCTAATTTCACTTGTTAGCGTGGCAATCTTGAACCTTACACTAAATACATATGGATGCAATTCTTTAAAAAATCCTTTAGTTAGCCTTATTTACTCTGCTTCCTTTTACCATTAACAAGGTAGTAAGAGTAATATCATCTGCCGATGATTCCAACACATTCCAATTGGGCATCACCCTGTTGCTTGGACCCGGCTGGAAAGTCAGGCGGCGGCGGCGGACTACAGTTAGTACCCGACCATATGCTGACAAGGTGAAAGTCTACTAATTACATTTATATTTTAGTGAAACAGTCTCCTGGCTCGTGATTAGGCGGCAGAGTTACGGCAGGAGACAATTCCATATTTCACGCACTCCCTCGCAAGCTCTCTCCGTTCATTCACTTATTTCGAAACTGATCTCTCTCTGTTATGATTTGTTTGTTCGCTCGCACTCTCGCGCGTTTTCTCGCTCGCACTCTCGCGCGTATTCTTGCACGCTCGCTCACACGCACGCATGTCCGCACGCACGCACCCAAGTCGACTACTTTCACGACTTCTTTCTCTTGGGAAGATTTCAATTACAAGATTGACAATCACTTCTCAGCAGAATTTGAAGCCACCGGGAGGGACGTTATCTTTAGCTTGAAACTCGAACTGGCCATCCACTTCTGTTGGAGCTAAATCTTCGTCACCGTTATCACCCTGTACATATAAAAACAGCAGCATCAACGATTTTGTACAAGTCGACAAACCACGCGCAGCCCAAAAACAGTACAAACAATGAAAGCGTAAAAAAACGCGTATAAAATGGGCGACACAAGCAGCCAGGCACTCTATTGACAACGTGAGAGTAGGTAACTGGCAATGACAACTACAGATTAAGAAGAGATTCAAATCTGAGAATGGCTGAAGGTATACAAGTAACTCTTTTTTTTTTTTTTTAAATTACGGACAGTACTTTCCACTGTGTCTAATGTCTACACGGTTGTTTCACGGTGCTTTAACACCTTAGAAATTTACCGGAATGCCACCGGTATCGTCATTGCTTATGCATAGCGAGTCGATTCAATCAGTAACAAGCTAGCAACCAAGGTCTAGAAGTCACAAGGCAAAACAATAAACCACATGCTGAGAACCACAGAGCAAATCAAATCTGACGCTATAAGCTTTACATTCAATCCGCGTTTGTTCTGCCAAGCGTGTTACAATAAGAGCTTCACTGAACCGCAAATACAGATCGAAAAATGCAAGAAATAAACGCAACTCCCACTTCCAGAGAATTTTTTTAAAATTTTCGGGACAACAGACTTTCCCGTTTAATGAATAGTCATTTGTGCTTAACTCAGTGTAATATCAAATTAACTATTCTTTGTGCCTAGTTTCGTGCATGAGTAACTCAATGTATGACAAAATAGCAGCTCGGCAGCCAAGCCTTTACCAGTTAACGGAAGTAAAAAGGACACTACTAGACTTGTAATCCCGCTGTATCAGGGTTTCAAGAGAGCTCTGCTTCAGTTTTAGACCTTTTTAAAACGATCAAGACTGACAAATGACTATCACATGAGGGCATGATGAGCACCACTTTTCCTTTTCTACTGTTTTCACTGCCTAGTGACACTCATGCGAGAGGAACAAAGTCTGTAGCGAAAATTTACAAGGAGCAGGACACGTGTTACAAAAGTGGCGTCTGGTCAATTAGTGATACACCAGAACAATCCGAGTCTTATTAAAAAGACAGAGAACATAACATACCTCATTTGAAAAGTATTGATCTATTATTCCAAAAGCAAGTTTGTAGATTTCTTCATTTTCGTGTTGCTGGAGGAATTCAATCTTATCCAAACCTGAAATAAGACAAATCAAAAGAATTTGAGGCCCTGCTTCGGTTTTCCGAGATAAGTCCGACTTCCAGGTAGGAACACTCGGTGGGCTAACATAGATAGTGCATGGCACCTCGCTTACTCAGCCCCTGTACTAACACCTACAGTGTTCATGGCACCTCGCTATCTTTGTCCCCGTGCCAAGATGTATAGTGCATGGCACCTCGTTATCTTTGTCCCCGTGCCAACATGTATAGTGCATGGCACCTCGCTATCTTTGTCCCCGTGCCAACATGTATAGTGCATGGCACCTCGCTTACTCAGCCCCTGCACTAACACCTACAGTGTTCATGGCGCCTTGCTATCTTGTTCCCAGTGCCAACATGTACAGCGCAGGGCACCTCACTATCATCGCTCCTTTTCTGCCACGCTCTTGGTCGGTAAAGATAAGTGAAAAATTGGGGAGCGTGAATCGACAGAGTCATTGCTGTCCTTTTACCACACGTTCTTTCTCTCGCTCGCTTGCTTTTTCGCCTAGCCTCGCGAAACGAAGGAAACAAAGTCTTCAATCAAGACTACAGAGGGAGGGGTCTTTCTGAGGTATTAGTAATAATTTTCACAATCACTTAACTACGTGAAAACGGTGGCTACTGTTCCGCGAAGCAGTGAATTATTTCGTGAGGACCTTTAATTTTATACCGCGAATTTAAGTAAAACTGAAGTACGTATGCTCCTCAAAAGCTAACCGTTTACCTTCTTCCCAAACGGGACCTATCAAAAGGGATAGACAACTTTTGAGATCTGTAGCATTTAGCCACGTCTACGAAACAAGATATTTTAAGTGACCTTGTGATCTAAGGACACAGGTTTAATCCATTTTGTCGACGAAATTCCGCCAAAGACCCAAACTGTTCCTAAATTCCTACTTAGAGTCCTTTAAGATCAAACCAATCAGACCCTGTTTCATTCTCTCGAAGTCACAACAAAAAGTGAAAATAGCAGGACTTTAAGTAATGCTTCATAAGTATATGCGCCACAATATTGCTCCTTTAAAGTATAAGTTCGTTGTTATGTCTTATTCCAGACAATGGATGCTAAGAAGTGTAGAGGAATTCCTTTCCTTGCGTCAGGGCCACAAATTGTGTTTAAAATCATTTCAGTACTTGGCCTCCACTGCCGATCAAGTTTGAATGTTAATAGCTGGAAAGTTGGGTAGATAACTTTTCATTCTTCCCACGTCAGAGGGACCAAAAATAAATCTGTAGTCATTACTTTTTTGACACGTCAACTGGGAAAATTATGAGAAATGTTTGGTAGACAGTAGGAAGAATTTACATTTAGATCAGTCTTAAAATTAAAAGAATTCATCATAAAATTACAAACCTTGACTCTTCCTTGAATTGTTGTTTGTTACTGTAATTTGTAACTACGCTTTACATAGATATACCAACCTCCTGCTTCTTCAATAATGGTTGCAATTGCGTCAGCCCTGTCCCCTGCCATCTGCAACAACGTGACAACAAATTCAGTGCAAAGATTGCTCCGTACAAAACTCTTTTTTGACCTTGTCCTGCCAGTAGACGTGACCATGTATCCTGTATATCCTTTAACACGCAGGAAACGATGACGGAAGAACGCAATTTCGTTTAACAAGAAAACGTTACTTAACATGTTAAAAGACCTT